GCGTGCAGTTACGTGTCAACATTATTACATCGGCAAGCTTGGGACAGTCGTGTGTTATTTATTCGAGAAGAACCGCGCTCGAATCTGTTTACAGTAATTATCCAAGGGGAGAAAAGGCAGGAAAGTGAGCGGAGTTCTTGAAATTATATATCGTGACACTTGGCGATCAGTAATCTTCGACGTCTCCATGATCAATTTTCTACGTTTCTTTTACGGTCAATGAATTTTTTAACGACTGATAAGGGAGTTACCGTATTCATGTCGTCGGTGCCTGTCACGTAGCTTTACCGACACTAATACGAAGGATAAGATGGAAACGACAATATTTATGGGTCTTCTCTGGTACGTCATTCGTGTTTCTTATTACTCTTTAGATTAAATTTATGTTTACTTCGCCATGACGTAGCACGATAATGGCGGCATCCGTCTTCAGATAGAATAATTTACGAACATCGGCAGAGGAAAGTTCGCGGCTTGAGATGTAGCTTTATCAGGCCTGAGCACTTTATCTCGCAGACGATATTTCATTTCATTGAAATACTTGACTATCTACCTTCTACGTTTATGGGCTGGGTATCCTGTAAGCCCGCAGGCTTCAGCAGTTTCGCAACATCACTCTACCCTTTTCGCGTGTATATTAATATCTTCGAGGAAGTCGAGATGAGCAGTGACCTAACTGTAGCACAGTTAAATGAATTCGATAAAAATGTGGCACCTAAGCAAACTCTAACATCGCAAAAAGTGATTTAATTTCGTATTCACGCTAGACGACATTCAAAATGTAATCGTCCTCAGTTTACCTTGATTAATTGTAAGTTCCCCTACAGACAACCTCGGTGAATCTCTGTTCACCTCGGTTAATTAAAAGTAAACCTCGGTCAACCACCAGTCAGCCCCGGCCAGTTTAGTTAAATCAATCTCCAATCAACCTCAGTCGCCTTCGTGTAAACATCTCAATGTACTGCATCTAGTCACAAGATGGTATCTATCTATCAATCAAAGGAAATAGAGAATCGCTCATCCTCTGACGAAACCTAACGCTTTTCTGTAAGCTTTCTCAAATAAATAAAAAGTATCACCGTTACATCTCCTTGTACGTCACTTTTCACGTACTCGTATAAATTGCATCTTTGGAGTCCAAGCGCGTCGTATCAATTTAATGTATCTCCATTTCGCAATTACCCCGTCACGGTTATTTGTCGTACCGCAAGCATTCGATTTGGGAATCCAGTTCGGCGATTCGACGGGGATTTAATCCTGTAGATGGATCCTCGTGTACAAGGATGGTCGTTAAATTCGCCTGCGACCTTTTCAGAATGTCGACGCAAGCTATACAGCCGGTTAACGTGGAAGGAGAGAACAAACACGACCCCCTTACAGTCGTCGCGTTTTGTATCCTCGACGGAATTGAAGTTATGATTACGAGCGCCGCGGTTCCGAAGGAAATAAATTTTAAAGTCGGTCCCCGCGACGCGTACGACCTACCCACGATATTGGATCCGTTCGGCGCGCGGCGTGCACGTATTTAATAAGGCCTCTTGTGGGCGGACGCTGGCTGGAGGTGTTTCCAGAATTTGATTTTTACAAGGTCAAGGACACGACATTCCCCTTGTCCCAGACGTCGTTATGCCCGTTATTCACCAGCCCCGCCACCGCGAGGACTCGACTATCCCCTTTTACGACTCGTGAAAGTGATACCTCGTGGAAAGTGGTTTTTATTTTCCTTAACGATTCTTCGTCTGAAATGCATGCACCTTCGAGTACTGAGTAACGATAATGCACGAAGATAGAACTATAAATTCTAGGTTCAATTTCACACGAACACCGCGGTACAAGCCACTGGTCGTGTACATCAGCTGCGACCCTTGCCTTCCATCTATCCAGCTTATCCTAATCTATCGGATTTTCGGTGAGAATTCCGAGAACGATGGTCCCTTAATTTAATAGAAGCTCCCAAATATATCGAACACTTCTAAAAGGAGAAACGATATCTCTAATTCATATCCAAGGAAAGATATCGCTATCTAAATCGGTATTCGTTCTCTCAGACCTTGAATCAAGACATAAATTTACAAAAATAGATCTCAACCTCTATTCTAGGTTTCCATGAGGTGCATCGTATTCTATGTTCAGAATTGAAGAGGTTATTTATTCAGATGAAAGTGAAAGTAAAAGAAGAACGTTCAAAACTCTCGATCACAACAGTTGTGCAATCCTGCCAGAGACTTATAGAGTTTCGCTCCCCGCGATTCGAGATACCATGAAATGGCATCGAAACCCATCGCTACTTCCACCTATACAAAACAGTTGCATTTGGGTATTGAAATCCAAGAGCCTCGGCGTAAGCAAGATAAGAAACGACATTGCCCACGGAACGAGCGAGCACGAACTCGCACAAAAGGATATTCCGTTTCGCGGTGTGCAAAGTTTCCTCCGTCCACACCCTCCCAGTTACCAGCGGGCGTGTAACGCGAAAAGTTCACCAAACACAAACTCGCCAAGGGGGTGGAATTCTATCTCGATGTAGGAAGGTGATTGTCCTTGCCCTTCGTTGGTTACAAACACGGCAATCGGGGAACATGAAAGCTCGCGTGACATCACGAATTCAACCCTTACGTCGACACCCCCGAAGATTCACGCTGCGCCGTTAACCAGGATGCTCGGGTATTCATCATGGAATTTCGCGTACTATGAATGGGGAATTATCTATTGTTAGGTCTAGGCACCAAGACTCTAAGACAGCAACTTCCATGTTACAACAACATCTCTTAAAACTCGATCAGCGATTAAGCTGAGTTTTGGTCCTCGAGAAATTCCGTGTTCGACGCACACAGGTCTCCAATTAAATCGCAGTCCAAGAGCTTAATCTCCGGATCGCGGTATCAATACCACCACCATGTTTACATCCTCCTTAGAACAAGGAAGTACGAGGTGAGTCTCGATATCGTATCGCGATATCGCCGCTTGTTTTATTCAGCCTGCGTGACTCGTTCCCCGTCGAGAATCTCCAAGGTACACTTTGCTCATCCCCCTTCCTTCGTCTTTCATAAATATTCAGGGAGAGACGAAAGTGATCCATCCCTGTGAAATTTTTCAGCCGTAACCGTTCCCGCGTTTTAACAGGACCCTGCAGGGCGTCGCGGAAGACGGAATCGGTTTGAATCAAATTAGAGAATCCCCGTGCTACGTCGACGTTTGGGACAAAGCGAGGCCTCGAGAGATTTTCAAATGGAGAAAATTTAGGTTACACGGGCTGCAGAATGTTACGTGCGCGGGACGCTGCGAGGGACACGAGAAGATCTTGGTTAGGGATAATGTAAATCCTTGGATGAGATCCCGGACGAAAAGGTTGTTTCAGTTGCCTCTTTTTAATGAGAAAATGTCGCGAGAGGACGAAACAGTGTAATGTCTTGTCTCTGGGCTAAAAGGGAAACAACAACGGCGTACGAACGACGTGTTGGCTGATGAAAACGCGTTCACCCCTTCGGATCCGTGTTCTTTCCTTTGGGTAAAAAGAGTATTCCTCGGTTGGCAATTATGTGCTCGGGAAACTTTGGGGGATGGTTGATAAGGACACGGTGAAATTATGCGAAAGATGAAACAGTCTTAGTTTCCAATTATGTAAAAAGGACTGGTGCTCCTTCGAGACGTCGAGTTTGACGGATTATGACTGATCGTCCGACTGATTATAATGGTTACAGTCTACTCTAAACTTTGTGTAATTCATCTTCTGCTTTCTGGTGGAGTTTGCACGAGATATATCGAAATTGGATTACCGTTTAAGGATAAAATGATAGTTCGTAGCTGTTGAATAAACACTTATGTGTATAAATATATTTTGTTACTTTAATACAGGGTATCTATATGTTATTAATCAAGTTCAATTTTAATTACAATTGGAGCAACACATATTACGCACACGCATGGATCTAATACTTGTGTGTTTAGTTATCAGATAGTAAGATAGTAAGCTCCATCAATGTTTATAATTGATTTCCTCCAAAACGATGCCCCGTACAAAAATCTTTAATAGCACTCGTCCAAATGCGAGCAGTATACTGGAGTGGTGGGTATCAAGTCGACCATCGATAAGGGCGCAAAGGGTATCTCCTACTTGGTGGCAACAATAAGAGGGCAATTCGTTGGACAAAAGCGTCACGAAATCTCGTAGACAATAGATCGAACAATAGGAGTCCCCCCTCTTTTCTGTCATATCAGCATCTGTTCAGTCCGCGCGCGTACACGGTCCTATCGGTGTGACCATGCAAGCGCAGAAACGGGCGACTTTTATTCTCGATAGAAGAATCGTCGATAACGTGCGCCCGGTCCTGGGGTAAAGCACTGGCGAGGATCGATACGTCTGTCCGTGCTTATCCGATATTCTGCTTGCGGAATCGAACGGGATGGTTGCTGTCAGTTGGATTACCGAGGTCCACGGGGTCAGCTTTAGAGATGAAGAACAAAAGAATATGGATAATGACGGAGCGATAGAAATTAATTCAGTACGAGTGAATACCAGTTGGGGTTAAACTATATTGTTGATGTGACGTGATGCATACTATTTAAATTGAGTGAATAAGAGGCAACTTTCGATCTGTGACGAATGAAATGAAATGCTCGAAAATATATCTATAATGTTAAGATATGTAAATTGCGGTTCTATCTGGGGACAATTTCAATTTTTCTAAGAACGTTGAGACAATTTCCAGCCATAGCAAGACTTTAATAGAGATATACTTAACAAACTACTTTAATCATACCAAGAATGACTACAGTGAAAGTACAGCGAAATAGTTTCTGTCTACTCGGACGAAAGGAATGTAAATAGAAGAGTTTAGCTTACTCGTGTAGATGTAGATTACGAGTTTGTGACAACTATCGTATTTCAAAGTGCTGGCACGAGCATAGTATCGTTAAAGTAGAATAAAATGGCTCATGAATGAGAAGAAAAAGATTTAGAGTGTCAGAAGTCTGAGAGAACTGAACAAAAGCAGCCAACAGTGATACGCTCCAGACGGTGAGACAACTATAGCAAACAGTGATACACATAGTGGAATAGAAGTGAAAATGAATAATTGAAAGAGAACGAAACAACCTTTGTGCTTTAGATATACCGGTACAATGTTTCAGATCTACGATTAGAGATTTTGAGAAATACAGGAAGATATGAAGTCAAGAAAATCTTACCTTACCGACATCAGCGACAACTTTATGAACTTGATCAAACGATAAGAAAGGATGAAAATGATTAATGGATTGTTCAAATATATAAAATAACAAATACAATGCTTAATTGCTAGGAATCATTCGTTTAGTACAGCAACTCAAGTTATTTAGTCGAAGGTCTGAAACGTTCCATTATGGACTTTTATGACTCTCCGATGTTTTAAACACGACAAATTTCAAATTCAATTTTCAATTTCAAATGTATTTATATTTAATTAATTGTAATAGACTAATAAAATAAATTACGAATCATTGTCCTGAATCAGCCACTTCTTCAACGTAAAATTGAACGTCCCAATAAAATGAGATTGAATTTAAAAATACTTCTCATTCATTTTTATCAAAGTACCCTCAAACTCCATTTCATCTAGCACCCATAAAAACATAATGCACCACTTGTAACATGAACAAATCGAATCGGTACAGAATGAAATACTTTCAAAAGCCTCGAATCAGCTTCAAATGCTCATACAAGATAACTAACCATGGGCAATATTCAAAACGCAAAATTGAAAGCAATTTACACACAATAAAAAAAAAAAAGAAAAACAGATCAAACAGTAGATTAATTGGATGAAACTGATCGCCACACGTTATGTCTGTACAATTCGTTTATTATATTCAATAATACATTACATACAGTCGTTCAAGTATATGCGCGCCATTCGTCGATACGTTTCCTCCCCTTTCCTCGTCCCTGGGAAGGAGGCCACGCAGGAACGCGGTCGTCAGAAATTTGCATTTTCCAACTTCCGCGCGAGAACTTTCAAGCGAGGCTCGAATTTTCACGGTGGCCGTGTTCCGGCTGCAGCCGTGCATCGCATAGCTTCTGGTAAATCGCAAAAAGATAATCCCCAGCTCGTCTATGCGTCTCGATCTCCATGCGCGTTAATGAAATTGGCGAGGACTTTGATCCTCGAGCAGACGTTTCCCCGGCGCCGTGCGCCGTCGGATTTTTCCCATCGCTACGAGGACCGGGAAATTGATCTGGTGAGAAAAGGAAAATGCGTTCCACCGATTTCGTCTGTACGATTCGATTAAAATTGGTACCCGAACGCGCAGCGATGCAAAGCACAGCGAAAACACAGTCGACGAACACACCACGCGTGCTGGATGCGTGTACTATTTGGAGCTGAAGAGAATTCACTTGAAGTATATTATTGGTAAAAGAAAAGATCAGTTCCGAGTTGAGAAGAATGTGGTAGTATGGAATATGGGCAGTCGGTTTCTTAGTAGGGGTTCAGAACTGATCTTTCTTTCTCCCTAGAGTGCATTAGTGAAGACGCATGTACTGCTGGGAGCTGAAAAAAAGTTGATCGAGATATGTTGTGTGTAGAAAAAAAGATTAGGCCTGAATCGAGAGCAATATGGTGCCATGAGTGAATAGAATGTGGATTTCTTGGTAGATCTGACCTAATACTAAACACAATCCTTTTCAGGATTGATCTTTCTTTCTCCCTAGAAGACATAAGTACCAGTCTATGATTTCTTTGATAGTTGTAGTTTAAAAAGACATTCGAATTCAGCAGATAATGGCTGACACATTCCTTCGAGAATCATTTTTTTCAACTCCCAACAGTAGACAACTCCATTGTACCATAAATGTGCAAAGTGACATCGATGACAGATGCGTGACTCTTAATATTACTCTCGCCAGACATTCGACTCGCAGCGCTGTTTAAATCTTACAAAAATGGAAACGGTTATACTATATCAATAGCTTTCTTGTATATTGTAAATGCTCGAAAAGTGAAAACTAGAATAGAAATAGATCACGCTTAGATAGTATCAGAGGTATTATTACAACTGTCTAGATTTTTGGCCCCGTGTAAATGAACCAACTTTCTCTGCGAAGTTGTTGCATGCGTTATGGGTTTTTCCAATGTCTGTCAATTAAGAATATCTAATATTTTTATTCGTATGGTTACAGAACTGTAGTATAATACGTGCAACTTTTAGTAGTAGTCAAATGTGCATAGAACTTTAATCAAGCAAAATCTGGATTTAGTTTGGAGATGACGTTTATTACCAATTCAATTTTTATGGGAACATTTACTTTAATAGAACAAAGAATTAGACATACCTGAAGTTTATTATACTGGTTACATATTTCTATTATTCTCCAGGTATTTTATAAAGAGTATCAATGTTGAAAACTTTCAAAACAAATGTGTACCAGAAGTAACGAATTTCGAGGCCCTGTTGTAACGCATGCAAACTGCCCGTCGTTAAAAATGTGCCCTGAGCTTCATGTTCGTGTATTGGTGCAGCATTATTCGAATTGTGCCAGTCAAAACGAGACAATAAAACATGGAACGTGATCCCCGATTGCTTACCGACGCGACGTTGCTCGACACGTGCTCGCAAGTCGTACGTTTTTGGCAATGTCGATGGAAGTAGCTGAAAAACAAATCGCATCAGTAACTCGAAAGGCTTTGGCACGATACACGGACACACACTTAAACAAAACTGCCGACCCATCCAACAATTTTTCAAAGAAGCAATACACACGATTTTATCGATCGACTCGATCGCACCGTGATCTCTTTTTTTCTCAGTCGATTAAGTGGACCAAGATTTCGATGTGCACAATGCGTCAGACTTATTACTTTCTTTTTTTCTTACAAAGCCACATACGTGAAAAATGTTCGCACACGTCGATTGACAACAACCACTCAACACGCACGTTACAAGCAGCAGGGTGATCAGAAAAGTTCGTGCAGTTTCCTCAAATTAAACACTTTTTCGTGAATCATGTGGAATTATTTATGAGGTTTATTTAATGGAATACTTGGAAAGTGTTAAGTAGTTCTTTAAATTAATCTTATTTGAGTAGCAATAGTAGAAAGGTTTTAAAACTAAATAAACGTTGAAAAAAATCCTAAGAAAATCATTTTTTAAATAAATCCTTCAATTAAATATATTTTCTTTTCTCGAAAATACAGTCAGTCACAAATATCTACATACATCGTATAAGTTTATCATCGACTTTGTCGTATATTTATTAAACTCATTTACGAAAAAGCACACAAAATATACGAATTACGATGGAGCAAAAACGTACATTAAAATATTAGAGATATATTACAGTATGGAAAAATTCTCCTTATCGTTAATGTATATATATTACATCAATATTTTATTGGTCCTCTAATGACAATACGTATCATTCCTTTGGCTCACCATGTGATATTAAGTATGTAGATAGATGTAGACTCTTGCAACCGACTATAAACAACATCATTTGTCCTACGTTTCTGACAACGATCAAGTTCCTCGAGACCTACAAGTAGAAACATTAAACCACGAATCGGTTGTAACGCGACCTGCATTCAAGTTGCACCCTCGATCATTAAGCCAAACGCGAATTGCACTTTCGCTATTAAACCGATCGCAAGCAATTTAGTCACGAGCACTCAGTCGTATTTAACATTAATCAAGCCATTGCAAGTCGAAGCTCGTGTTTACATGGCCTAGATGTACAAGGTAGCCCGCAACGAGTGGCACAGGCCAGAACGTAACGAGTCTACGTGTAAAAGTAGATTGGAAAACATAGAACAAAACTTTCCGATATTATATTCCTTTTGCTGGGAAAATCGATTCTGACACTGTTTCGCGCACGCGTTTCTTTTGAAATTCAGTTTCGGGATTACAGCGTAATATTTTGTTTAATTTTACTATATTTATCTAAAGAAAAATGATGGTGGAAGAGCTATCATTACTTTCACATCATCGAAAAACTTCCAAGTACACTTTCCTCCCTACATACATATTTATATTTACATCACGTTAAAATATCCTCCTCAAGTAAATCCATATGAATAAAATATTGTCCCCGCTTCTCATGAAGCATTACAATTCAATTCGGAAATGAATTTAATAAAAATTCTCGATTGTAATGAAGACAAGCTTCCACGGACTATCAATGCATGTAAACAGGCACGATATCAAGTTCAAGTGCGACAGAATAAAGCGACAGTCTCGTTTTATTCCGGGTTTTTGCCGGAGCATTGATTTTATCGTTAAAAACTGCAGGAACTTTTTTGGCCAGCCGATATAATATCCCGAAACGTGACAGCTGTCGGCCGTCGAGGAAACATTTCGCACTCCCGTCGTTGGAAACGTTCCATCGGCGGAATTTAAAGACTTCCCGGGACATTGATACCCCCATCAAGATGAGAATAGTAGAAACTCTCTCGCAATACGTACGGGACGAGCCATTTTCGTGTCTCGTCGATGGCTCGTGGATTTCGTATGCCCGATATCCCGACAATCAGTGGTACAACACACAAGCTTTCATCAGCGATAAGCAAAAATTTCCGAACAGCCTTTCACGTGGTCGCCACGCGTTGGCTCGATAACGAACTTCTCAATCAAATGGAACAATGGACCTTGCTAAAAAGAGAAACGCACATTAGACGATTGACAAACGCGCCGATGGGATATCATTTCTTTTTAACCAGATTCGTGTGATTTTATTTTATATTGTTTGGACGAATTGGGTTGTAAACAGAATGCATAAATTTGAAACGAACTGACATTTGAGTTTGGACATTTTTTTAATTAAATTTCTTCTAATAAGTGTAACTTAAGTACAATATTAAAATTATTATTGTTAACACGTTAACAGCGTCACTGGAGTGTCCATACTTGTATATCTCAAACCAGATATTTGTTTCGATACGAGTATTCGATCATTTTCAATTCCTACTTTTCGAACCAGAATATGGTCGCAGCTTATTCCCCATTCATTTTCCACTTTGTGAATGTAATTGGCACTCCGAATAAAGTGATCGAATTTTTCAGTCCAGAGGGAAAGGATTAAACAAATATCACAGGCGGCACACTTAAAAGCACATAACGTATTTACGTAACGCTGAACGTATTAAGGCCATACACAGGGTGTTTCTTTTAGAATAGGTGGCCAAATTTTGAAAATGCATTCCATTTGTCTCGAGGGTGCAGAAAGTTCTATAAACGCGTCGAGTATAGAAACGTTTCCATCCCGAGTTACAACCATCTAAGTGAAGATTAATCAGAGGTCTAATGAGAATTAAAAAGAAAAACATGAAATATGCACGATGATGAATATTTTTTTTTTTTAAACAATTTAAACCATTGTTAAACTACAACAATTTATTTTTTATAACACGAATCTGGTCCAAAATAAGACAATAACAGGACTTGAACTCTGATAAACTAGTATCGATAAAAATAAATATGAATCTGTTGCTAAACAATTTTCTGAGACAATTAAAAACTCTGGCAAACGAGTGACGATAAAAGTGAACACGAGTCTGATGAGAAACGTCTCCGAACTAACGCGTGCTCGTAGAACATTCGTTGATTCTCAGAGCGAGTATTACAACCGAAACATTCGAGCAACTATATCGAAAACACTCTGTACACAGCTGGAACGATTCTCTGCTTGGAATCGGGGCTTGGTACGCGACTCTCTCTCTTTTTTTTTTGTTTATTTTCCCATTTTTGTTTGCAACGCACACGAAGCTTGTACATACGTACATATTCACTGGACGAGACAAAACGAATTCACAAAACGTGATACTCACACCGAGCTGGTGTATACTCACACCGAGTTTAACAGTGACGTTCTAATCGCCGATATGTATGTTGCAGAATTTACATAACTCGATTCTGAAAAGAAACATTAACACAGCATGTAATCTTGGGTTGAACATTAAATGAGATAGAGGAAACGAGAGAGAAACCTCGAAATTAGAAGAAAGATAGATTAGTCGCTTGGTACAGGTGAGATTAGAATTTTACCGTATTCGCATAATTTTACGATCATTATAATATATATTTATAAATCTAATGCTTGGTGAAGGCCATTATGATGTGTACTATTTCCAAGCATTTTGTTATAGACATTACATTAGAAAAATTAGAGATTTATTTAAATTACTTGCATGGATTAATGAGTGTTGAAAAAATTTTTGTTCTTTAACTATTTTCATAACATTTTCTAGTAATATTTACAAGTATTCCATAACTCATTTATGAGATGTTCAAATACTTTTCTTCGTATTTCTTCATTGTAAACCGAAAACGAATGGCGCGTTTTCAATTTCGTCTGCAAACTAGTAGTTTTATTCTTGATCACCGATCTCAGTAAGCGGGCCATTATTATTTCTCTTCGCTTTGCATAATTTCGTGTCGTTCCGTAAATTTATTCCGAAACGTCGACAAAACGGGGCACCGCGTTATGCAAATAAATTCACGTGGTCGCTAACGATTTTTAACCGCGTGTTAAGCCGACACCGAGTTGTCGATGCATGCGACAATGGAATTTGATTGATTGGAAACCCGGTTGAATAACGAGCGACAGTTTTTTCTCCATCGTTTGATCGCATTCTCAATCGCGATTCTGGGACATCGTTGGAAAAAAAGGATGTCGCGTAAAATCGAACGAAGAAATATTGTTATCCAGTTTTGGCATAAACCAGTTAATATAAATCCTCCTTTGAAATTTATTCAAATCTATGGTAAAGCACTTCTAATGCCACCTGTACCGCCCAATGTATTTTATAACCAAATTGCTTGGAGTGCAAAGAGTTAATATGCATAAGACAATGGCGACGAAAAAAACACCGGATTTCACAGTAAACTTCCACCTTTCCCTCTAAGCTCACTACGTAATCGACTGAATAATTTTCTAAACTGTCGAGTAAGAACGAGATCCTATCCAGGCTTGTCCCAGCAAACGTAGTGGAATTTACGAAACGGGCACGAAAATTACAGGGCACGCGACGATTGCATCGCATTCTTTCACGCAGAAACGAACCTATGTCTCGAAAACGTGAAGGTCGACGTTATGTAAATTAATTCGCTTATCGTCGAATATAACCTTCGTCATTCTTCGACGTTAGAAATAGACGGAACATTTAATCGATTCACCGAGGAATACACCCGCCGCCTTTTGCGTGCTGAAATCACATAAATACGGCGTGTAAGTAAATTCTATCCAGTTACGGATATTAGAGACGGAGAGGATTCTGTAGGAAAGTGTGGGTACATAAATGTAGATGTATTATTATTCACGTTTAATCTTTTCCGTTAACTATGTTTATGGGTGAAACTTGTCGATGACAACCCCATACGTTCAGGGAAGCTATGTAAATCTCTCGAGCTCATAATCTCTATTTTTCCAAAAAGTGGATTAGGGTTGGTTTCAAAATAACCTCTTTATTTGCAACGAGATTTCGATAGTGGACGAAGGGTGTGAGATTCGAGAAAATTTAGGTTAACCGCTGATATAGAGCAACAGTCTCAAAGCCTTCACACGGAGGATCCGACGAATCCCTGACCTATATCCCTTAAAACATCATATCGCCATTACGTGGGCCTTGCACACGCGTGTGCATAGAAAAAAAGAGACAGGGTAATTGTTCAAATGTAAATAAAACATTTATTATAGAGTTAACTCTAGAGTGGTTGGATTTCTATTGCGTTAACGTTTGTTAATAATAATTTATCGTTTACTATCAGATTCACCCTCGTTTATGTGTGTGTGGTTGGTATCTCGGAGGACAGTTCATCGAAATCGCGCTTCGTCGTAAAGAAGTCTCGTTTCCTTTACGGATAAGGGGACTTCCGCCGCGGAAAGACGGCTAGGCCACCGGTGAAATTCGATAAAAGTCCAGCTGAAAAAGTTCGTGGCTGGCATACTACAAAAGCAGATCCTTATACTTTGATGTCACGACCTCTGAGAAACTTGATTTGCGGTTGGTATTTTTCTCAGCCACAAAAATTAATTTTTAATTCTATTTTTCACGCGCGTGTAAGATGAATAATAAAAATTTAACAAACGTTACATTTATGTGCCTAGATAATAATTAACCCCTTGACATACAATGACGAGTTAAGGCTAGTCTATTCACTTTGCACGTAATGTAATCGTGGCTATTCGTTCCTTTCGGGGTTTCCCTGATTAAAAATGTTTACTGCTCTCGCGGTGAAACCTGATACCAAAAATCGATTTCAGCCGCGTTCGCGGGTTCCATTTCTGTAGAAATGTTCCGTATCCTCCGTGGCCTGATGAGAGGAATTAGAATCAGCTGTGGGAACGTTCGCGCGCGCCTTTTTCTTCTCTATTTGGCGTTCGTTTTCGTGGCTTAGTAAGCGGTGCTTTTAAGGGGCTGCAGTTAAGTCGTACTCCGTGGAAGCTTAATCCCAGCTCAACAACGGCAATTTGGCTCACTTATGAGCGTTCTTGATGCTTTCACGAAGACGTTGACTGAAACTTCCTAGTCGGAATTCGCGTTTAATTTTTGCCCATTGCTAATATGCCACGAAATGAGATCTCACATTTTCTATTCGTGGTGAATTTGACGAACCGAACTCGATAGGAGACACGTACTCCTTTGAAAGGAAATATATATGTTTATTCTTCAGTTAATTTTACCGTTTCATTATTTTGAAGGTTAAAAACAACTGTACTAACAAATCAATAAATAATGAGATTTTTTCCTGAATCTTTTCTGAATTCTCACTTTATTCCAAGTAATCTCGTCAGACATGACGCCTGAACTCAATTACGAGGGCAAGTGAAAGTAAAAGAAATCAAAGTTCCATGTAGCTTCTGCAGACAAGACCGAAAATAAGAAAAATATATTAAACAATCCCACCGCAAGAACCGTTTCCATTCAATAATGAGCCGTTTTTTTCCCTCCAAGAGGAAAGAAGAAAAAAAGAAGAAGCAAGGCTGCCAGAGGAAACTGGAATCGGTCTTGTTAAATTCTTCCACGTAATATCACTCTCCGCGGCCGTGCTCCGCTCCCCCAGAAATTTTCTGTGATAATGCGATGCACGTAGAACCGTGGAATGGAAGCGAACGGGGAAAAAGAGATCGGCGAAAAACTTGAGATAATTACGTGTTCCGGAGTGGCTCGCGTCCCGACATCGGACCGCAAACGTAACAAGAAGTTGGATCTCAAACGACGCTGATCCTAAATTGGAACCTGTCCAGGAACTTTCGGCTAATAACAACTGCTGGGAAGACCTTTGGCTGCCAATCGGAGTTTATTTCATCAGCGGGAGTAATTTTCCCGTCTTGACCGCTGAAGATGCAATCGGTTTCGTTCGTCGTTTAAAGGAGAAAATAGGTTTAGGCTCATAGAGCCCGAACAGAAGAGTTTCAAACTCAAAACGAAGGATATGAAGAAGAAACAGGATTGTTATATGGTGCTGGAATCGTTGATTAACCAGTAAGTTGTTTCAATCGTATTCATTCACGGGTTTTCATTGTGACTACTGAATAATCAAAATATCAAACGGTACTAAATAAGCTGTAAGACGTGGTAAATGTCCATAGTCCCGCACTATGCGTCCCACAGGATCGTATCGTCGATTGTAGGACGAAAATTAGAGATAAAATTGTCTGGCAGATGATAAACGCCGCAAGAAATGTCTTTACAACGGCAAATACTCGTATCACCCGTGGAATCACGAAAAACACTCAGGACGAAATCTAGGAGCCTCGAACCACTATGGACTTACATAAATATCTTTTGGGAGACTTACGACGCTCACGAGTCGTCGTTCGGCTGAAATTAACGGCGTCGTAAAGCGAGGCGAACGACGAAGATCGGGAAATATCGTCGCGAATGCCGTTGTTCGCACTATTGAAAACGTATTTCGACGGGTTTAAATTTCTGGCTCTCTCGAGATCGATCGACACGCTCTTGAATCGATCAATGTCAACCTTTTCACGCGACAAATTATTCATTAAATTATTCGTACGTAATTTTTATTCTGAATTTATTCATTTTTGTTTGCATGGATATTGGTTTCTTTTAACCACTTGGTTGCGAAAGGCGAAAATTAAAGGAGAAATTGTTAAATTCATCTGAAAATAGTAAATATAGATAAAGAGAGCACCAGATCAACGTCTGACTCGAAGTGTTAACATCCGCTAACGCTGCATGCTCCGATTTCTGTTTACGTAGGAGCGTGTAATCAAGAAACCAGTTCGGTCGCAAGAAATTCAATTAATTCAAGTACGACGGAACGCACTGGTTTAAAGAAACAGCGGACAGATACGTACCGCATCCGTTCGCCAAGGAACTTACCACCGCCCAAGGAACAATGGCAAAATCCACAATTGGTTCGCTCGCTGGCAACACAACATAATTAAATGAAAACAAGAGTGGCTGGATGACGCGCAACACTCAACGGTTATTCCTTTCATTACAACCGATGCTTACTCCGAGACAAGGCAGATAGCACAATTAATCTAGCAGACAAACCGCAGAATTTCATTTAGGAATAGCCTGAGTTTCGCGAAACTCCACTGCCCCACTTTGAAAACGGCCTCATACATATTTCTGTCGTTTCTAACATTAGTTATATTCAGTGTTAAAAACGAGAAGGATAGTTTAAGGAAAATTAAAATATATAGCCTTGGTGAAGAGCAGAGATGGGGCGAATTTTATTGGAATAATAGATGAAGAATAATAATTTTTTGTAGGATTTATTCAATTAAACATTTTCTCAGTATGAAACATAAATTAAACGTGCATTTCAGATTGGCGTTTATTCATATTCATATTTATTCATGAGAATTTTGAGAAAAGTTGAAAAAAAATTGTTCAAGGAATTGGATAAATAATCCCTCGCTTTAAAATAAAGTAAAT